TTTAGGGCGGGGCTACACGGTGATTGACAGGTCTCTACCAGAGACGCATAGGACGTCACAATGAAAGAACCAAATAAACAGAAATAAAACATTTAAATGAAAACCTATATTCAGTCTATGACGGGGACACAAATTGTCCACCACTGTCTGGTTTCTAACTTCACCTCCATGATGATGATGATGATGATGATGATGATGATGATGATGATTTTGTTTTCCTCCTCAGGTCAGCGGGACGCTCGGACCTCAGCAGGTGGAGGAAGGTCAGAGGTCATCTGTTGGAGGGGGGGTGGAGCCTGGTGGCGTTCGTGTCGGGGCTGCTGTTGGCGTCTCTGTACGGAGTCACAGCTCTCTTCCTGCAGAAACAGCCTCTGTGGTCGTGCGTTTACACCACGCTGACCGTGTCCGTCCTGGCGGCGTTCGGTATGGGACTGTCAGCCGGCGTCCGGGCCGACGTCTCGTTGCTGCTGCCTTCACTGTGCTCAGGTCGGTTCATCAGTCACCTGTCCAGGTGTTCGAAACAGAAAGCTGACATCTCACAGCAGGTTTAAACGGACCAGCCACTTAGACCTCCACTGGGGGCGCCAGAGGGTCTTAGTTCAGACAGCTGAGGATAGTGACGCCTTTGAAGAAGAATAAATCAAAGTAAAGTGGGTTTTATTTTGAGACGTTTAGGTTACATCACAATCTGTATGAAAACTAAATGATAGCAAATCAAAATTATTATTCAGAATCATAATAAATGTAGATCAACATTAGCAGCAGAAAATTATCAAGTTTATATTCTCTCCATCTACTGCCGAAGCTGCTTTCTTCCGCTCTAAATCCTCACCTCTGCTTCCAATCCTAAAAAAACTCTTCAAAACTTTCTCTTCCCTCCCCCCCCCCCCCCCCCCCCCCCACCTCCTGCTTCCTCCCTTCTCCCTGATGATTTCACCAACTTCTTTGATAAGAAGGTAAATGATATCAGATCCTCCTTCTCTCAGCCCCCCTCTCCTTCTCCACCCTCTCGAGCTCTTCCCCCACAGCTCTCCCTCTCCATGCCCCATCTTACCCTATCTGGCTCCCCTCTCCCCTAACGAGGTCCTCAACCTTGTTACATCTAACCGCACCACCACGTGCTCTCTTGACCCGATCCCCTCCCCTCTTCTTCAGTCTATTGCGACTGAACTCCTTCCTTTCCTCACCCACCTCATCAACAAATCCCTTGTTTCAGGATGCTTTCCCACGGCTTTCAAGACTATCAGAGTCACCCCCCTTCTGAAGAAACCATCACTTGACCCCTCTGATGTCAAGAACTTCAGACCGGTTTCTCTTCTACCCTTTCTATCCAAAACACTTGAACGTGCTGTCTTTAATCAGCTGTCTTCCTATCTCCACCAGAACAGCCTCTTGGACCCTCACCAGTCCGGGTTTAAAGTGGGTCACTCAACTGAGACAGCCCTCCTTGCGGTGACAGAGTCGCTTCACGCCGCGAGAGTGAACTCTCTCTCCTCTGTCCTGATTCTCCTGGAACTGTCTGCGGCGTTTGACACGGTGAACCACCAGATCCTCCTCTCCACCCTCGACGGGATGGGCGTCTCACGCTCTGCACTCTCCCTGTTTGCATTCTACCTGACAGGTCGATCCTACCAGGTGATGTGGAGGGGGGCCGTGTCGGAACCACGCATGCTGACTACGGGAGTGCCACAAGGTTCACTTCTGGGCCCCCTTCTCTTCTCACTCTACACAACATCTCTGGGTTCTGTTAATCGCTCGCATGACTTCTTTTACCATTCTTATGTCTTACCATTGTTATGCCGATGACACCCAGCTGGTCTTGTCATTTCCCCACAGTGACACTCAAGTGCAGGCACACATCGCTGCGTGCTTGGCTGACATCTCGAGGTGGATGGTGACACACCACCTCAAGCTCAACCTGGACAAAACCGATCTACTGTTCCTCCCGGGGAAGGGTTGCCCGCACTGAGACCTGTCCGTCACCATTGACGATACCATGGTGACGCCAACTCGGACTGCGAGGAACCTGGGTGTGACCCTGGATGACCAACTGTTCTCAGCAAACATTGCATCGGTTACACGCTCCTGCAGATTCCTGCTCTACAACATCAGGAGGATTCACTTCCTCACTGATGAGACGGTGCAGGTGTTCATCCAGGCTCTGGTCATCTCCCGTCTGGACTACTGCAACTCTCTACTTGCCGGAGCCCCGGCGTCGGCCATCAGACCTCTGGAGCTTGTCCAGAAAGCTGCAGCTCATCTGGTGTTCAATCGCCCCAAGTTCTCCCACACATCTTCCCTTCTCCGTTCTCTACACTGGCTCCCTGTAAGAGCTCGCATCCAGTTTAAGACTCTGGTGCTAGCCTACAGGGCAGTGAAAGGAACAGCTCCTTCCTATCTCCAGGCCACGGTCAAGCCCGATGTTGAATACACTTATTGTAAGTCGCTTTGGATAAAAGCGTCTGCTAAACGACTGTAATGTAATGTAATGTAAATAACTTCTTTGGGGTTTTGGATGGAGGTGTGGCCTCAAATGGAGGCGTGGCCCTGTTCAGCCTATCAAAGTCCCTCCTCTCGTGTGTTTCAGCTCGGGGCAAGAACTTCCTCCTCTTCCTGTTTGTGTCGGTGCTGCTGACTGGTCCTCTCAACAACACCTTAGAAAACACGGAGCGAGCTGCTGCCAGTCTGATGTGTAGCGCCGAGCTGGCAGCCAATCAGACACAGGAACTGATGCAGAGGGCAGCCACGCCCCTTTTATGTACGAGCCAACCACTTTACACAATCACTACAAAATACTGAAAAACACTGTTAATACTACTGTTAATATTAAACTTAAAACTGTCAATACTACTGCTAATACTATTGTTATTGGTTAGTAATACTGTAAAAACAATCACTAATAATTACTATAATAATTGTTAGTGATAGTGGTAGTAGTAGTATTATCAATAATATAATTACTATTAATTTGTAGAGATTAATTGTAATAGATAGATAGTTAATTATTACGATTATTATGACTGATTATGATTTTTAAATATGTGTAGATGATTGTGATCACCAGCTGCTGTTGTGTATTTGCAGCTGCGTTAAACAGCATCAGAGAGATCAGCAGTAACGTTCACGCTGTAGCAGGACGAGTTCAGGACTTCATCCACACTCTGACTGACAGCGTCCGCCATGTTGGTGAGTGAAGCTGTGTAGTGTGCAGAAATAAATCCATCAAGGACATTACCTTCTCGTCATTCAATCAATTTAATTAAATAGTTGAAATTGTACAGTTAGTTACCTAGTTATGGAGCCTGGGAGTGCACATAGAGAGAAAAATAAATAAACTGAGGCCACAATTTATTAATTTATAAGATACGTGTATAAATACAGAGATTTGACCAGTCAGCATTTATTTACTTATGTATTTATTTGAGAGGGACAGTGCACAGCTTGTGAGCTGTACCAGATTTAGCGATGAACTATTTTACAGCCTGCTGACGATGTAATCCACAATCTCTTCATATCCTCTTTAATTGCAGCAGGCGGCAGCTGGAATAATGACTTGACAAGATTAATTCATTATATCATTTGGGAACAATGTTGTCACACAAATTAGTAGATCACCTCAATAAATACTTTTTTCTCACTGTGAGAAAGTTATGGGGTGCTTGAGAAGGTTGGTTTGTTCTAAAAAAAAAAATTTATATTTATTTACAACATATAATAAAAGTAAATATTTTGTATCAAACAGAGTGATGTAGTGCAGCCATGACCTCTGACCTCTGACCCTGCAGCTCGCACTCTGAGGAACGTCCTCCACTTCCTGGTGGACATCGGCGACGTGTGTAACGCCAAACTGGGCTCTCCGTACAGGAAGTGCCGGGCGGTGTTCGCCGAGGCTCGAGCCGACTGCTCCGACCTGCTGGGGGAGTTCAACTTCCTGTGTGACATCGTGGATGGCTTCCTGCCGCTCTGCGGCCTCGCCCGCGGTGCGTTCACTTCCACTTTAAGTCCTGATATTCATCTTTCAAACGAATTTAATAAAAGTATGTGTCCGTTTCAGCCGGCGAGCTCTTCTGCACCATCCCCTCCTACATCGCCAGCCATCTGAAGAAACGTCTGGCAGCTCGTAAGTTCATTATTTCTGACGTTTTTAACCTCTGTTGACAACCTTAATCCTGCTGCTGTCCTCCTTCAGCCACAGTTGCAGCGTTTGAGCGAATGAAGCGGGAGTTTGACTTCAACATCTCGGCCTCGGTGAGCTTTGACCTGGACACCAACAGCAGCCGCTCTCTGCAGCAGGTAGCTCAAGACATCATGGAGGAAGTTTCATCAGAGCTGCAGGTGTTTCAGAAGCTGAGCGAACCGCTGGCGTACGGCGGCCTCGTCCTGCTCGCCTACTCCTTCCTGAAGTCAGGACTCCCGCTTAAGTTTACTTCATCTACACGCTTCAGTTTATTTCATCCACACGCTTCAGTGTACTTCATCCACACGCTTCAGTTTACTTCATCTACACGCTTCAGTTTACTTCATCTACACGCTTCAGTTTACTTCATCCACACGCTTCAGTTTACTTCATCCACACGCTTCAGTTTACTTCATCTACACGCTTCAGTGTACTTCATCTACACGCTTCAGTTTACTTCTACACGCTTCAGTTTACTTCATCTACACGCTTCAGTTTACTTCATCTACACGCTTCAATTTACTTCATCTACACGCTTCAGTTTACTTCATCTACACGCTTCAATTTACTTCGTCTACACGCTTCAGTTTACTTCATCTACACGCTTCAATTTACTTCATCTACACGCTTCAGTTTACTTCATCTACACGCTTCAGTTTACTTCATCTACACGCTTCAGTTTACTTCATCTACACGCTTCAATTTACTTCATCTACACGCTTCAGTTTACTTCATCTACACGCTTCAATTTACTTCATCTACACGCTTCAGTTAACTTCATCTACACGCTTCAGTTTACCTCTACTGCATGCTTCAGTTCACCCCTTAGCCCCTAGCATGCAAACATTAGCATGATACAAGTGTGTGTGTGGGTTTATGTGTGTGTGCAGGGCGATGAGGTACAGACGCAGGTATCTTCGTGAGCTCGACTTTGATAACGTCTTCATCAGCGCTCAGTTCTTAGAGCTCAACCAACAGGTGACCTCAGGGGGCGGGGCCTCAGTCCTGCCAATCACGGGCAGGGAGGCCAAGACCTACATCACTCCACGTCAGTACACGTGTGTGTGTGTGTGTGTGTGTCATCTCTCTGATGGTTTGTTTTAGCTGATAATGAATGATGTCATCACGTTACCTGCAGTGTCGTGTTACCTGATGTCCCGGGAGCGGCGGGCGGTGATGGTGGGCGTGGTCTCGGTCCTCAGACACCTGGTGATGGGCGGCATGCTGGTGGCGCTGGACTTCCTGGTGTTCTGGATGCTGGATCAGGTGCACCACCAGGTGAAGGGGGACGTTGTGGCCAGAGGTGAGACGACGACCCCCCCCCAATATATTAAATATAAGGCTGTAAATGTCAGTCAGAGCGGCGGTAAACCACGGTAACACCCGTGTCCCATCAGCCCCGGTCACGGTGGCGGTGCAGGTGAACGGATCCGGTTACGCCTCAGACATCTTCAGAGACGTCGTGGCTTCGTTTGACATCCTGCAGCGAGAAAACGTCACCGTGATCAGCAGGAAGTGTCTGCTGGAGCCGTCAGAGCCGGATTACATCACCTGCTTCACCCTGGGTGAGATCAAACAGGATGTGACATCATCGGGACGCGAACGCAACTCCCTGAGAGGGAACTGACCAATCGGGGAACTTCCCTGAAAACTATGTAAAAAAAAAAAAAAAAAAGCTGAACTTTAACGAACTCCTACAGACTGAATCAGAACAACTTAAAATATGTTCAGGACAATCACAGGTCATCAAACCCCAGCTGCAGGTGTTGTCTCCACTGGTTCTCACTGGTTCTCACTGGTTCTCACTGGTTCATACTGGTTGTTACTGGTTCTGGTTTGTGTTGCAGGGTTCCTGCTGGGTCTGGCTCTGCTGGTCTCTCTGACCGGAGGATTCATGCAGCGCTGCAGACGACTCGTCTGTGCTGCTTATTACCCAGAGAGAGAGCTGGTACACACACACACACACACGGATATAAAATCATAAACTTAGTTGATCATAAAAACATTTGTCTTTGACATCACTTGGTTTTATGAAGTATTTAGATCCTTTACACAATACTGTAAAAATACTACAGTAGTACTTTGTGCTCAGCTTTTATTTTGTCATCTTGCACAAACCTATTCATATTTACCTGAATGAACGTCGGGGACGTGTCATGATGTAGCTCTGACCTCATGACACTGAGGATCAGGTGACATGTAGCCGGAGGAGGAGCCTACTGTAAGCCCCGCCCCCTCCAATGTTATTATTTTTTAGACAGACAGACTGATATCAGAGAGGAAGAAGAGGAGCAGCTTTGGGTGGAAGGTCACAGAGCAGAGAGGCATGTGAGGAATCTGCAGAATGAGAGGATGCAGGTCTGAGCAGGTCCACTTGAGACCTGCAGAGTCAGAGACCCAGACTCACGATAAAAACAGGCTTCAGTGTACTTCATCCACACGCTTCAGTGTACTTCATCTACACGCTTCAGTGTACTTCATCTACACGCTTCAGTGTACTTCATCCACACGCTTCAGTTTACTTCATCTACGTTCATCAGTATCAACAACTGCAACTCCTCCACTGTTCCTCTGTCTCAAGGTGTCCCCCAGGGTTCGGTGCTTGGTCCTCTTCTGTTCATCCTCTACTTGCTCCCTCTTGGTAACATCATCTGTCAACATGGTCTTCACTTTCACTGCTACGCCGATGATGTCCAGCTCTACATCTCCACAAAGGCCGTTACCACTGCTACTCACTCCACTCTCACCAACTGCCTCACTGACATTAAATCATGGATGCAAACCAACTTCCTCAAACTGAACTGTGATAAATCTGACATGATCATCATCGGTCCCAAATCCCTCACCAAAACCAGTCACAACTTCTGCCTCACCATCGACAACTCCACTCTGTCTCCCTCCCCACACATCCGCAACCTCGGAGTCATGTTTGACAGCAACCTCTCCTTTGAACACCACGTCAAACAAATCACCAGAACTGCCTTTTTCCACTTAAAAAACAGCCCGTCTCCACCCATCACTCTCCTCATCTGCTGCTGAAACTCTGATCCACGCCTTCATCACCTCCAGAATTGACTACTGCAACAGCATTCTCCACGGCACATCATCCAAAATCCTACATAAACTCCAGTACATCCAGAACTCTGCTGCTCGCCTGCTCACCCACACCCGCTCCCGTGACCACATCACCCCTGTTCTCCAGAACCTCCACTGGCTCCCCGTCCCACAACGGATCCAATATTAAAGTCCTTCTCCTCACTCACAAAGCCCTCCACAATCAGGCCCCCTCCTACCTCACCGACCTGCTTCACCACCACACTCCATCCCGTCGGCTCCGCTCCTCTGATGCCTCCTGTCTCTTCCACTCAGGACCAAGCACCAGACATGGGGTGACAGAGCCTTCTCCATATCTGCCCCCTCCCTCTGGAACTCTCTCCCCAAACACATCCGAGACTGCACTGACCTCTCCACATTCAAATCTCAGATCAAAACCCACCTGTTCAAAACTGCTTTTAGTGTGTGACCGATATTGTGTATTTTTGTTTTTAGTGTGTTGCTTTTATATATGATGATTTTAATGTAAAGTGTCTTTGAGTACTCTGAAAAGCGCTATATAAATAAAATGTATTATTATTATTATTATTACACGCTTCAGTGTACTTCATCCACACGCTTCAGTGTACTTCATCCACACGCTTCAGTGTACTTCATCCACACGCTTCAGTGTATTGCTGTTCTTGTTCTCATAGGAGAGGATCCAGTTCCTCCGGCAGCAGATCCTGGATCAGAGGAGGGAGGTGGGGAGAGCCCTGAGGAGGTCTGCAGCCAAGAGCCGAGCTGACGGAGGAGGAGGAGGAGGAGGAGGAAGACGAGGGAGTCGCCTTCAGGCTCTCCTGCTGCGGTATAAACCAGACTTTAGTGTTTAGAATCAATGAACCAGTAACGAAATGTGACAAGAACATTCACTAAAGTAATGCACTTAAAGTACAATATGAGGTACTTGTACTTAACTTGAGTATTTCTACCTCTACTTCACTAATCTGACAGCTTTGGTTTGTTTACAGATTAATATTTTCACACAAATCATATGAAGATTTTACCAAATCTGATGTTTAGTTTTAAATTAAACAATTTATACAAATACAGCTGAAACCAAAAGACTGTTAATAAATTAGTTAATTGACAGAAAATGATTGTGAAGCTATTTCGATTAGTGGTGTGACGGTTATTTTTGGATCTGTACTGACCCCCCTCACAGTTTACCGTTAACCATCAGAGTGTAAATAAAGTTTTACTGTTAACCATCACAGTGTAGATAAAGTTTAACGTTAACCGTCAGAGTGTAAATAAAGTTTTAACGTTAACCATCAGAGTGTAAATAAAGTGTAACGTTAACCATCACAGTGTAAATAAAGTTTAACGTTAACCATCAGTTTAAAAAAAGTTTTAACGTTAACCATCAGAGTGTAAATAAAGTTTTAACGTTAACCATCAGAGTGTAAATAAAGTTTAATGTTCACCATCAGAGTGTAAATAAAGTGTTACTGACTCAGTAGAACATGTGTTTCTAGTCTCTGATTTCATTGTAAACAACCAATCAGAGGAGAGCTAGTAACGTTAGCAGCACCGCTAACGGCTAACCAACAGAGGTTCACTTCAGTTACATGATGATGCCTTCAGGCTCTGCTCAGTGAACATGAGTACTGGCTGAAGGTACATTATAACGTTATCATGATGTGTTCACATGTCATTTGTAAAATGTAGTTACAGTGATAAACTTGAATGAATACAGTAGTTTGAAGGAGACCGACCTACTTGTTTTTGTGGCACAAAGTTGGTTCTGAATGAAATCTGTCTGTGTGTCTCAGGCTACCTGGAGGGGTTCACCTGTCTCACCTGCTGTGTCGGCCGTCAGTCAGCTGTCTGTCTTGCGGAGAGGTGGTGAGACAGGAGGACGACATGGCCGCCTGTGACGTCCCACAGTGTCCAGGTAGTACCTTGATTACATATCGATGATGTCATTAACGTCATGTAATCACGGACCAATCAGGTGGAGAGTATTTATATCTTCCGAATGGAGCTTTTATTGTGAAAGTCTGCTTGTATTGTATGGATACGTCTAACATTAGAGAACTCAACGTGTTCCGTTTCTTTCGTGAGAGCACGATTATATTTCACCTCTTTATTGTAGAAGCTGCTTGTGATGATGAGAGAGAGGAAATATGAGTTAACCTTTATTTAATCAGTGTGTGTGTGTGTGTATGTGCGCGAGCGCTCTCAGGGAGTGTCCTGCAGCTCTCTCTGTTGTTGACTCAGCTGAAGACAAATAACAGACTGTAACTGTAGCTGAACACTGACCTGAGGCCAGTTAACCCTTCAGTGTCCGCTGTCATCCCGCCTCTAAAAGACGTTATTTTAACACCTGAAGCTGAACTCGACATTTGTTCACTCTGAAAAGAACCAAAAGCACCTTAAAGCTGAATGAATATACTGTCTGAGAGAAACACTCGGCTTTATGTGCAACCTGTCGAGGGTTTGAGGTTCCAGCTGGCAGCAGGCAGAGATAAAACCTGTTCTTTTCTTTAACATTTAAACTCCTCACAGGAAGTCAATTTGTTCTAAAGCTCTAATCGATTCCAGATTACATTTTTTTAATGTCTAAACCACCAGTTTCTGTAAACCAAGGATATGTCGACGTTTTGCATTCGGTCTGAACAAGTGAAGCAGCACAACTAGCCTTTATTGAAAGTTACCAGATATAATAACGTGTATAACAAGCGAGGGAGTGAATGAAGGGAAGGAGGAGGGATGGATGGGTCAAAGTAACACAAGGTGAGACCAATAGTTCACGTTTCCTAACACGTGTTCAATAAAGTTACATAATAAAGTCGGCAAGGGGCGTTGTAGTTTATTTACGTTATAAGTTACGGTTTATAGGTTACGTTGCTATGGGTTTTACGTAATATTGTTCCGTTATATTGTTACGTTAAGTTGTTACGTAACCGTGTTACGTTATATTGTTACGTTAAGTTGTTACGGTTGTTTTGTAACCTTGTTGCGTTATATTGA